CACAGGAACATGTGTCCACCATAAAATCCTGTTGCTGATCATAAACAGTCACTGACATGGTGATGAGGCTCTTCTTGTGCTTGTGTTGAGCGGCTGGCATCATCTCTCCTTCAAAGTTTCTGCAGACTCCCTTCTGTGGTGATTTCAGTTGCGTGGCAAAAGTGGCTCGTTGGTCTAGGAGTAAGATTCTCGCTTAGGGTGCGAGAGGTCGCGGGTTCAAATCCCGGACGAGCCCTTATCACAAGGGTGGTTCAGATGCTGTCCACAGAGATCTGAGAAGGATTACACAATGAAACCATCTGATGGAGGTGAGAAAGGCTACAGGGCCTGAGGTCTGTTTCACAAAGCAGTGTCAACACTAGCCATAATCTCCACTTAACCACTAATGAAGTTTAATAGGATACCAAGAAATTTCCACCAACAGAGAGGGATGAGTTTTGATGTCAAGGTGCCACATTTCCACTGAACAATGCTGTCAGAAAATCAGGCCTAAGCATGGGAGGAGGACAGAGGTCAAGGTCTGGTGACAGAGAAACATGGAGGACCATGTGAGGCTTTCACTGAGCTTTGGATGAAGGATCCCCATTCAACCTCACAATAATGTGACTATTATCCATTTCCTCAAAGACAACCCTTTTCATTTAATTGAACAACCACTGATCATTTCCAGGATTTAAATCTTTAGGCCCCCCTTCCTCTTAAAAAGGTTATTTTTACCTCTAAACTTAATGGGGAGCACATCTGGAGCTCTCATCTAAATCACAAGCTGCTATTTTCATACAGGCATTTACATACATCTGGGTAAAATAAAGCAAACAAATAAAAAGGAGGCAGCAGGACCTTGAAAAAGATTGAACTTTACTTGATACTTCATGTATCCAAAATAAAATTGTAGGTTGGATTCTAACTTGAGCGTGCAGAGTAAAGGTTTAGCTGTCCATTATCTTCACCACTCATCAGCCCTTCCATGATTGTACATGATTCAACATGTTTACAGACATTTCTATAAGTGGCATTGGTGGTATAGTGGAGAGCATATCTGCTTCCCAAGCAACTGACCTGGGGTTGATAACAAGCAGCACTCTGGGCTTGTCATGTTACTCTGCTGTTTTCAACTGAGCTCGAGTCCTTTTTGTGTAGCTACTAGAGCCAGAGGAGCTCACTTATACATGTACTGACACCTGCTTATCAACTAGTTTCTACTCAAAGCACCGTGCTTTGAGTAGTTACCGTCCTCCCTCACTGTAGAATAT